TTTTTACAATATCCTGATAAACTCTTTTTTGTGATAACGTAATATTCTTTTATTGTGATAGTCTTAATAGGTTTGTATAACAATTAGTGATAATTTGACACTTCATATCTGAACTGATTTGCCAGCTGCATCAAATCTGAAGGTGATGTCGTATTTTATTTTTTAAAGACTTTTTGTGTGGAACAAAATCTGCTAGATGAGCTCAGGAGTGGTTAGAGTTCAGCTAATTTAAATTTTGCCCATTGCACACCAACACCAGTAGAAACAAGGCATCCAGATGGAGGATTATTCATGTTTGAGGCCACATTATTGCACAGGTTGCACATAATGTCATGACAGACAAATGGCTGCAGAAAAGGACTTTGCTGCTGCCGTGTTAATTATAAGATACCAGGAATGTCGTGATGATTGGCTGCAGTGTGACAGTGCACGGTTTGGTTTCCCACAACACAAACTGTATGAACGTTTATTAGTGTTAAAATGGGAGCCTTTTTCATCAGGGCCTCCTGTCTAATGTGACATTGACATCCAGGTTTTGCGCCACAGGGATTGTAGCACAGTCAGAGTGATCTCAATGAAGCCGTCTGCACATGTTGAGCCCTGAGAGGAGGCTTTTCTCACCAGGAAGAATACCTGAACATGTTGGATAAACATCAACGTGGATACTTCACCGCTGTGCCAGGTGATGGATAAGGAAAAGATTAGCCTCGACCAGGGCAGGAGGTGTGTCACAGGCTACAGGTGTGTTGGACTGAATATTGCAAAATTGGGTCACTGCTGAGGCCCAGTGCTGCAAATGAGACATTACAGGATCACTGCTGTAATAGAGTTAAGAGCCATAAACTACATATGGGCTGACACTTTTGGATGAATGAGAGCTAATTTTAGACCGTATATAATATACATTTGTGGACCTTTCTCTGCTTTTTCTCCCTCTCTCGCTGCATGGCTCCATCATTACGCCAATTAGGAAACTTTTCCCTGTTTACACACGAGCAGGCCGGTTTAGATGTGACCTATATTCCTCATCGGAGCCGTAATAAAGGGGCCGTGTCGAGGTTATTTAAACGGATATTGTTTTGACATTTAGTGCAGCGGGAGAACAAGGCCGCTCTGTCAGGATACCTGGACTGTTCCCGTGTCTGGCTGTTTATGAATGAGTGGGTATTCACTTGTGTGTGAAGGAGCAGGATCGCCGAGTGTGTGCACACATCCTTCTGGAGCAGCGGCTGTCAGTTTCTTTATCCTGTTGTGAGCCGTGAGGTAAGGAATCGACTGACTCATTTCCATTCCTATTCAGGGTAGAAGTGGAGCCAGTTAAGTCTCTGAACCTCAGAAGGTATGTTATCGTAAAATAAAAAAATTGCCTTAATTACACCGTTTATCAGAGCCAGGAGCAGTAAAAACAGAAAATTATCAGATTTTAACTTTCCAGTGATCCATGAGTTACCGTATGTGAGCTTAAAATTGTGAGATTTCATCCAAATTATTTAATTCTACATGTCTAATTTTAAAAAATATAGCGTTTGCACTGAGCAGATTCTGTAAAAATCAAAAAATTCATCTCTTCTTGGTGCAACAGAGAAGCCATGACTGACTCAGCTGCGATCAATAGTCACGCAACAAAAATTCACCGACCATCTGACTCAACTGCAGGCTGGATACAAGTTTCAAAGCAAATTGAAACTGTACGTAGTGAAATATCTTTAATATTCACCTTTTTTTCTCGTATTAGAACATCTCTAGACACTTAGACTTTATTTTGTACATGTTAATTGCAAGTTTTTTGAACTTTTGCAATGTAAATATTCAAATAAATCAACTTTTATGCCTTGTAATCCTGCAGAAAATACATTTTTTCAAGTCCTCTGTACTTCTAGTCATAGTTTTGCTGCTTTTGTAAAGGAACTTTATATTGCATTGAGTAAAAACAGGCTTTAAAGGTTGAATGTGTCCATATAGGTTAGAAATACAGATTAGTACAAGTCGCAGTTGCGTGCTGGACTATTTCCTGACAAGTACAAGCTGGCTCATTGCCATGGGCTACTGCAGCACCTACATTTAACAGAGAGGTCTTTAACGTCATTAGTTACACCTGCACTTTGTCCTGCTACGACTAATCGAAATGTCATGTGTGAAAAATGTCTGTTAAGCTTCCAAATCCCCAAAACCGTCCCCTTTTGTTATTTACAGAACTGGACACGGTTCCCAGTTGACTCTCAAAACATCACTTCATGTGTCCTGCTTCTGTGCTTTTTTTTTTTTTTTCTTCTGCTTGGCATCTGCTCTTATTCCCCCAGTGTGTGTGTGTGTGTGTGTATGTGTATGCGTGTGTGTGCTCGCTCCACATGTTTTCATTTGGCAGCTGCTGTGTGTCCCAGACTTTCACTCCAGACCCATTTGACCTCTCGAGCAAAGTCACAAATATAGACACACACACACACTTTGACTTAATGCATGTGCGAAGCTGTGAATGTTGCTGTTAAATTTGATTGTCTGGACTGTATTTAAAGGGTTAGGCGGAGATCTGGGAGGCAAAAAAAAAAAGAACAAAACAACCACCAGAATTAGAAAATATCCTTCTGCAGCTTTCCTTAGCTCCTACCATCAGAGGAGCACATTTCATTTGCACAAACGCGATGGTAAATAAGAGCATAAACATCAAATTGAATGAGCCGTAGCAATTAACAGAGGGCCAACGTGCTAGATATTACAGACAAATGGAGTTACCTGTCCAGGAGACGAACTGCAAGATCAGAATCTAGTGGTTAGCGGATGTAACTCCACTTCTACGAGTTTGCCAGTACTGACATGTGTTTCATTGTGTTTATTGTCAGACTCTCTTTTTGATAAGACCGACTTCCTGTTCTGGATAGCCGTCTAGTTGAGGCAGTTGTTGCTGTTGAGCTTTTTTTAAAAAAATAAATTCTTGAGCACACAGTTGAGTGTTTTTATACGAGACATGTGGACTAAAGTGTTTTGATGAAATACCATGATTTTAAGCTGAAATGTGGTCGACTGTCACGCAGCAGATGAGTAAAGGACTGTTAGAAAGTTCAAACTAGAAATATTCTCTCTGTTTTTACGGTTTCTGCCTCTGATAAGTGAATTTAACTGTAGGGATTTTTTTATTTTTAAAGACAAAAAGCTTTTAAACTCAGCTGTGGTTTTGAGGTTCAGAGGGTTAAGGTAAGGGTAGGTTGGTTCAGGCAGCGGCGATAAACCAACCCTCCACCACCTGAGGGGACACACAGCAGCATTTGGACAACAGCCAATGGGAACGCCCACTCTCTGCAAAGATGTGATTGGTTAAAGCTACCATCATGGGCTAGATTTTTAGGAGGTATGGAACTATTTACAAATACAACATGCTCAAAGGTTCTATTTTTTCTTTGCTCAGTGGTGCCAAAAAAGTGACTACTCCAGCAAGAACATTACAGAGTCGTGCACATTAAAAACAGCAATCTGGCTGATTTATTCTCTTTCGCTTCCAAGTATGCATACATTAAAGACGCCTAATGAGGCCAAGCAAGTCCAAATCATAAGCTGTATGTACATTCTTGGCTGTAACCTGAGAGTCTGAATTCAGGGGGAAAAAGTCCCATAAATATTCAACATGCTGGCTATGTGCAGGTAACTGGAGTGCTCAGAAAGTCTTTATGTGCACCTATCAGAGTATAAAACTTTTTTTTACAAATGGTATAAATATGGTGTTTTATGTAAGCTCTGTTGTTAGTAGATGGGTCTATCACAGCTGCCTGCTGCCACTTGCTCAAAGAGAGCAGAGGATCTGGGATGGAAATCCAAAGCAATGAGCTCAAACAGACAAGTGAGCTGCAGAGCTGGTTGAAAGCGAGCGAGGCCTTTCACTCTACACATTTGATCCATTGTTTGTATTAGAAAAATATTGAAGCTAGAGCTGTATTTATTATCCCAGTCATGTCTTTAGTGTTGCTACTGGACCGATTTTATCTTCTTTGACACTTCTGGCAGTTTTCACAGAGGAGGTTAAACTAATTTCCAGGAATAAACCGCGTAAATCATCGTTTTGTGATTGTTGCTAATTAAATCAAGTTATTTCTGTCACTGTGTCTGTCTGAGGAGCCTCCAAGCAGAGTGTATTAATGGGCTCCAACCAGTCCATGAGTGTGTGTCTGCTTTTGTTCTGGTTTCTGCATGTTTGCTGAAGACCAGGGTGACTCATATTGTGTGTGTATGTATTTATGTGTGTGTGTGTAAACCAGTGAAATCAGAGCACCATGCTGTCCTAGGTTTCCAGAACACGGCTCTCCGCTCAGTGACTCATTCATCCAGACTGAGGATTATCTATCAATGCTGTTTCCCATTGACTGACTCCTCAAGACATCAGCACGGTCTAATTTCTGACACTGAGAGATGGTCTGTCGTAGAACTGAAACTACAGGTCGAATATTTGTCATTTGAGTCATTTTCCAACAATTTTCTCGGTCCGGCTTTTGCAGGATTTGCTGCTTTTCTTTGTGTGAGACTCTTGTGAGTTGAATATTTTCAGATTTTGGTTGGATAAAGTAACACTTTTGAAGCTGTAATTGGCCTTTTTCTTACATTTTTCTAACAATATAACCCATTGTTTAATCAGGGAAATGATCAGCTGATTAATCCAAAATGAATATCGAGGCTATTTGCAGTCTGTCATCTCTCGAGTATGTTTTTCAAGGTTGGATCGATTAATACCAAGTCCTAAACTGTTGCACCGACACATTATTAGAACCACAGATCCTGTTAGCATCGTGTGGCGGATGCAAATACATTCATAAGCTGTAGCCTCCCGACATGCCAAGCTAATAAAACTACCAACAAGGCATGCCTGATCAAGCGCGCAGCCACGTCTTTCCAAAAACTTCTCCAAAACTTGAACTTTTCTTTGGCAGCCCCGTTGGGTGGTTTTCCCCTGAATTGTGCAAAGTTTGCTCGACGAGACGGCTAATAACCCTTTCTGTCTCCTTGTTTGTGCGTTCCAGCCTTTCTCAGGTGACCAGATGGACGACTTCAGCAGCGAATTGTTCAACAGTTTCTTCGACGACCACGTATTAGAAAGACCCCTGTTGGCAGACAGACCTTCACTTTTACACATCGACATGGACAGCAGCCCAGGTGAGAGCCTCTTTTTGTTAAGATACATGATCACAATAAGAGTACGCTTCCCACAGATGCTCACAAAATGAATATAAGTACCAATCCAGTGGGATACAGATTCACTCGGGTTGAATCAGAGGTTGTTCCTTCCACTAACATCCTGCTTTGAAATGATTTCAGGCCCAAGAGTTTCCCTTCTCGGCTCAGCGGCCAGTTGCTCCTCTCTTTAGCCAGCTTTTTTATCGAAAAGACTCGGTTTGAAACCCTGGAGACCAACTGTATCAACTTTTTATTTCTCGCTGACATCAACGCTGGCTTCTCCACAGAGGTCAAGTTTCACGATATGAGCGAAAGTTCCAAAAACCTTTTTTTTAAAACCAGAGGAAAACACACACACACACACTACTCTTTAGGCTCACTTCAGACAAATTAGCATCCCTGTCGTCATCGCGGTCACTAGGACAACGATTTGAGGAACGCACAACAAAAACAGCATGTTATTTTATCATTGTCATGTCTCAATAAGCGAGTGAGTCATTTTTACGTAAAAGCCTCGACGGCAGGGCAAGGTCAAATATGCACAGACAGAATTTAAATGTGCATATTTATAACCATGCCTGGAGCTCTGTGATGCATTTATCCAATAATCATAATCATGGCGGCTGCATGGATGAGAGTCTGAATATCCAGGGAAACATTTTGTGCATTATATTTGGAATAATAGTCGGAAATAATTAAAAAGAAAAAACTTTAAACCTAAAATAACCAATGCAAGTGCAACATCAAGACAGCCGACAGCAAAAGCAGACCAAAAAATGAAAAAGAAAAATTTATACGACAGCCTTCTGATACAAATAAATCTGATTTAAAGTGACGGCGAGAGTCTTAATTTTCATTCTGTGCTTGTTGGACATCATAAAATATGCAGCAAATTCTGCTCATAAATAATGAATATTGAGGAGAACATTTATGAGGAGGCCTCACTCTCCTGATTGTCATTGTTTAAGGCATTGGTGGCCAAATATCCCAAAATGTCTGTTCCTTTCTTTTTTGCTATGTTGGTTATATCATTATGATGTTGTCCAGCTGTGACACAAACATGGCTCTTTCTGTAAACCTCAGACACATGTTCCAATCACCAGTTATGTCAAAAAGTTGGTGTAGAAGACTCAGCTGTTTGAGGAAACTTGAATCTTCCCAATAAACATGAACATCGCTTAGATTAATCGCTGATATGAAATACCCGATAACATGGAAGTTGAGGGATGTTTGTGCACCTGCGTTGGCTGCTACGACAACAACCGCCTGAGCTAAATCTCCATTACCATAAACAGACCGGTTACATTTTTCCGTCCCTCTAATCTCGCAGATATCCAAGCGGAGCACAGCTACTCTCTGAGCGAAGACTCCGCCCCCCAGAGCCCTGCCCTGTCAATCAAAATGGACCAAGAGTCTGGTAGGTCACTTTGCTCTTCTTTGGAAGCCAACCAACGCTGTGCTGATGTTTAGTCTGGTTCCTGTCATGCTAGCTGCTGGTTATCTGGTTGGCTCAGTTTTAGCGTGCGGTCTGATTGGCTGCACCCACCGTGTGATATTTGTGATGATTGGCGTAATCAGTTGAGCTTTGCCTGCAGGAGCACGCCTCAGCTGCAGCGCACCATAAAGATAGTGTATGTTTCAGGCCGTCTTTCTCTCCCCCTCACTGACTCATCCTCCTCAATATCTCCTCCTTGTCATCCTCCCTGTCTGTCTCTGCCCATCTGTCTGTACCTGTCTCCCTCTCCGTCTGTCCGTCTGTCTGCGTGCTGTCTGTTCTCCGTTTGTCCCGGGGATCCTGCTGTTTGAGCAGCAGGATCCCAGTCTGAGCAGTTTTCCTCCAGCTAAGCCCTGCCCACCTAACACACACACACACAGACCCACACAACACTATGACAAGCATATGGTTTTAAGTCTGCAGCTTTAGCCGAAGCCAGCGGAAACTCTCTTTCTCTCTTCTGTCAGGTTATCTATCTCTCTCTCTCTCTCTCCTTCTCTGACTCCTGTTTTCTATCTTTCTGCTTCTCTGTCTCCCTTAATCCAATTAAACCCAATTTAATAATATAAATATCACATTACCTGCATAGAAAATACCAGATTTACAAAAAAAACTAGGTAGCTCACATCAGAAAAACAACTTTCTGGCTTGTGTGTGCCTTTTTTTTTTGTCAGGACAACACTGTGAGCTGGATATTTTTAAAAGTTTCCTCTTTGGAGGCAATAAAAAATGTCATAAATCAGTGTGAGGTCACTCCAAACCCGACTTGTATAGTTTGATTTCAATGTATGTCCCCTGATGCCAAAGCAAACTGGATATTTAAACACTAAAATGAGTTTTTAAAGCACTAAACATAATCTAATAAATCATCAGACAGCCTTTTTTTTTCAGGTGTTATTTCTATACTTTTTTTCTTGTCCCATGTTCTTCCGTAGTTGCATAACTGTCACATATGGTACACAAACACACATAAAATGTATTTGAATCTTTTCCAGCCTGTGTTATTTTGGACGTTTGCATTTTATAACCTGCATCTGCTCCATAAAGCCGAGCATAAACACGGATATTTACTTAAACTTTTACCCGTTTTCATCCATGCACACGTTGGCTCTGATGGAAATCTTTGCACAAACATGACATTTTATGGGCTACTTTTATTTCACTTTTGAGGTGGCTGAGTTATAGGAACTTTTTTGCGTAATATCACTCGACTGATTCAGGTTCTAGTAACGTTCCTTGACTACTTCTACCCTCCCACACAAACCAAGTGATGAGATAAAACTGTTGTGCTTGTTAGTCTTCTTTGCTGTACAAGTCTCCACTGGGGTTGAATGTTTTATTACTTCCTGAGATTATACAGCATCACTTCTTCCCCCCCCAGGAGACAGAAAATGAAATTGGATTTTAATTCCAAAACTGTAGCAATCATTAAATTGCATTTGCGACATGGTTCCATTGGAGGAAATGACCAGAACAGGGTGCAACAGCATGCAGCCGTTTCTGCTGTTGGTGGTTTAAGGAGTGTCATTCCTGAGTGTTAGTTATAAGATTAGGAGGATGTTCCGCCTGTTGAATGCAACTTTACGCTCTGATTTGGGGCTGAACTGCGTGTCTGATTGAGCCACTTGTTGAACAGTTGCTAGATGGTTTTTATTCTCTGATTTTTTTTTTGCAGGAGTACTTTATGGCGCTTCTTGAGGATTAGCTGCCATCTTGGCATCAGCAGTATTTTTATTTTGATAAGACAGCTGCATCTGAAATGTTATACGATATCTCTGTAATCATAACATTTTAGGATTTGATTTTAGAGTGCAGTTGTGTGGTTTAGTTTCTGCAATTCGGGGAACTTTCTTTCAGTACATATATATATATATATACAATGCACGTGAACAAAAAAAGCACAAAAAGTCCTGGAATCTCGTCGGCATTTTTCCGAAAACGGCAGCAGGATCTGGAAAGATTTGGCCCTAAATGCTCATATCTCTGTTCACGGTATTGAGCTCTAATCTGAGGCGAAGCTCAGCGCAGACTTCAGAAGAGCACTCTTGCCAAGGATCCTTGTGCCTGCTGCCTTTCGCAGACCTTCTCAGCATCCAGAGTGACAGGAGGAGCAGCTGCTCGTTTGTCATGATGACTCTGGTTAATTAGGCTCCGAGGGATGTTGGAAGTTCTTGACCTTTCAAATACCGCGTCTGTTCTGAATGAAAGAAGTCACTGATCTTGGTTGTTTGACAAGAACGCTGACAGCACCTTAAGGCCCTGTCGAGGGAGAAGATATGTACAAGATGCTGTGATCATGTAATAGTCACAGTTAAAGTTTGGCTCATGTGACACTGAGAGGATCTTGTAGCTCTGTTGGGGGCATTTTTGCTTCCAGGGTTTTGGGTCCATTTGTCCCTTTTTAGAGGGAAGAGTCACTGCAAATCATTTGTTCTGGGGGATGACCTTTATCATGGTCTCTTCCTGGATGACAGTCCCCCATATATAGGACACGAACAATCTGAATGGTTTGAAAGATATGCGATTCATATTCACCATATTTCAATCCAGTTGAATTTGGACCAACGTGTTAGACAGCACTCTCCGTCAAAACACCAAATGAGGGAATGTCTTTTAGAAAAATGGCGTTCATCTCTCCAATCCATCCATCCATTTATCCATCCATCCATTATCTATACACCGCTTAATCCTCACTCGGTTCGCGGGGGGCTGGAGTCTATCCCAGCTGACTCGGGGTGAAGACAGGTTCACCTGGACAGGTAACCAGTCTATCACAGGGCTACACTTAGAGACAGACAACCAAACACACTCACATTCATACCTACGGACTATTTAGAATCGCCAATAAACCTCAACATGTTTTTGGACTGTGAGGGAGGAAGCCGGAGAACCCGGAGAGAACCCACGCTGCACGGGTAGAACATGGAGACTCCACGCAGATAGATCCCGGGTGTCCTCACCGGGATGCGAACCGGTGACCGGCAATGGTGCTAACCACTGTGCCACCTTGCAGCCTGTTCATCCTTCCCTCCTTCTTCAATTTGTCTCTCCCACAGTGTCCTTGGTGTCAGTTTATAGCCTGATGAACTTGTTTTGGGACCCATTTTGCCAACAAGTGCCCATCAAGTACAATAAACACAGCAGGCACTGGATGGAAATTCAATATGTTTTCACAGACAACAAGAAATCCACTTGCTGGGACACCACCTGTCCTCTGGTTTTTTGCAAGTCATTTTATAGCAATTAAATGAAACATACCTTTAATTTGGATAAATCCACCACGTGAGCTTAATATATTAAAGAAAATGTAAGAGTACAGATGCAGACGACCTTGTGTACACTCACAAGTGTAACCTACAAAAATCTACCAAAACGTATCGCTTCCATAGCGCTGACAGGACGGCAGCTCGTAAAGATGACGCATGGGTGTACAGCTTGTCTATGGCCGTTTTAAATATGATGCTTTGTGTGTTTTATGGCGCTCACCACACATTCGCACACTGTATTATTGAAACTTGCGGGCAAGATTGAGCTCTTTTGCCTTTTCTCTCGCAGCCTGTGGTTGTTGTTGCTCTCGTTCGGTGAAAGAGGAGCCGTGTTGTTTTTTTTTTTATTTTACTGCAGCTCCTATTGCGCTGATCCATCTAATGTTTTAATACTACTGCTGCCCCACTGAGATCAAACGCAGCCGCCACCTCTCCTCCATTAACCCCCCGTGACGACTGCCCGCAGCCTTCGGTCATTAACACAGGATTTCTTACCTGGCCTTACAGCAGTTTACCCACACAGGAAGACTTTTTTATATATTTTTCTGTATTAACAACATCCAAAGAAAATCCATAAAGTCAGAGCAGAGAGGATCAGGTTTTACTTTTATTACCTTCATTCACAGCATCTTTTACATTTGCTTCACGCTGGAAAGAACTCCAGAAATACAGAAAGTCATAGTTTAATGATTATTATTTTATGTTGCTTCCTTTCCTTCAGCAATCTTACTGTGTTGTATAAAAATCTATCTACTATACGTCCAGTTTTTCCTTTTTTCTTGTTCAATAGCTAATTTTACTTGCAGTTATTTAGGACTTTAGGAGCCTTTCGGGTGCACCAGATTGATAGATTTTAAACTTGTGGACCAGTTCTTGCAATATGAAGGACAAACCTCAGCAAATACCCAATGAGGTAATTAGTCCAACTGCAGGACTATGCAGAAAATCATCTTTTATTCTTTTTACTTTTCCACAACAGTGTTCGTCTTATCTTTGATGAAAACACCAGAATACCCACACATGTACAGGACGGTTCCCCCATGCATCCCCTCACGGCTCAAAGCTTCTGGTATTCATTAAAAATGGTGGTAGAGGGCTTCCAATCACGCCCTGGCTTAACGAGGGCAGCGGGCTTAACGAGGACTCAGGCTAGCAACAGGTATGGCCTCATTAGGAGAAGCTTCTGAGTCTCTTTCTGATACAGAGGATGTAGGGAATAGGTAAATGGTTGACTGACCCCCCACCCTCCAAAACTGAATCTTTTCTGTCCTCATTGATTCTCCTAAAAGATTTCAGACTCCTGCTGCTAATCGGTGACATTTGAATGACATTTTAGAGGTAACGAGCTGTAATGAAAGTCTTGTTTAGGTCTGAGTGTTTGGAAAGATTTGCTCTAAATCGCACAAAAAACATACAAAACAGGCACTGATGAGGTGCTTGCTAGCCGTGGGGTCCTCACGGTGCCACTGGTCCAGCGAGGAAAATATTTAATAATGCTCATTAGCCCGTTCATATCAAACATGCGTATTCTGTTATTAGTCTCAGCTGTGTTCTCCAGGCTGTGGGATCACTGTATAATAAAAGTCCCCTAAGCAAATGTAACATGTTCCTGGGATGTACATCCAACAGTTTCCATGACTGCAGCTGAAGTGAAGTTAGGTTTGGAGACCAAAGCTCCCCTGTCGCAGCTCAAAAAGAAAAGTGAAGTGCAAAATATAGTTGATTTTAGCCCTATGTTAGCACAATGTGTCGTCGTTTTTGCAGCAGAGATAAAACGATTAATCTATTCGGCAAATGTTTGGCTGTTGCTTCACAAAAAATGCTAACCTCTCACCAGCCTCTAGTGTGAAGGTTTCTCAGATTTTGGACTCATGGTCAGATTAAACAAGGCACGTGAACCTGGCATCAATTTAATGTGTGTTTTCCAGCATTTTATAACCTTTCATAGACCAAATGATTGATTTAGGAATAAAAAATCAATGTGGGTGGGGGATTATGGCTCTTATTTGGGGGGAAATGTTTTGGTCTTCACACATCTGCGTAAAACTATGTTAACTGCAGCTGGATTGCGTGCTGCTACTTGGTTCTTACGCCCAAGACGAGTGTCTCCAAAGGGCGTCGATAAAGCCTAATCTAATCTCATCTAAGAAAATAATCATGCATTAAATCGGTGAGAGCAGTAATTGTTAGTTACAGCCTTGGACTACCGCTTACTCAACTCTGGGAGGAAATGCTGCGATAACACTGACGTTGCCACTGACTCACACCAGTTTACTGTATATTCATGGAGCACCTGATGATGTAGGAACTGAGCTGAAATACGCAGCATAAATAGTAAGGATGTGGTCACCCTCAGATCTTTTGTTGCACTTTAAAAGTCCACTTTAGTGTTAACCCACTGGGCTAATGTGTAGGTTACCACAGGGTTTTTTGATTGTATTTGGACTATTGGGCAAAAACGAATGACAACAAATAGATTTGGGATCAATGCAGCTATTAATAATAAATGTCTCAATTGGCTCCAGCACTCATCTCAATGATGGCGTTTATTTCTGCCGCTGGTCGTCCTCAGCCAGCAGAGAGAAGCCACAAGGGCTTTTTTTTTTTAGGATGGATTCTGTCTGCGCTGATCCCTGCTGTAGTGACGGACAGGATAACGAGACGAGCTACCAGCTCCCTGACAGGCACACACACCTCCACCCCCCTCTGCTTCCACCCAACACACACACACACACACACACACTCGCACACACACACAGCTTGTAAACTTCAGAGCGTTTTACCAGCCGAATGTTGCTAGGAGACCAGGAGGTGATTAACGTGACGTACACACACACACACACACACACAGCAGCAGCTCCTCTCTTTCACCGTGGGAGCATTTTCGGATGTGTGTGTGTGTGTGTGTGTGTGTGTGTTGTGACAAACATCAAAGCGTCTGGCCCGGCGCTCACGTCTTAATGCTGACTTGATGAAACGTTACTCACTCCACCGTCTCCACCAGCAGTTACCTTTTACTCGCCATCTAACTCTTTAAAAGTTATGTCATGGTTTCACTTTTAAAGGTACGAAACTTTTTATGTGTGACTTTTTGCCTAATGAGGTTCCTTTTGGAGCAGCTCGCCTCTAAAGGGCCTTAATTCAAAGCACATGCGGCGAACCACCAGCTCTGGTAGACACACTGGTTTGTCCGTCGTTATGAGCGCTGACCAAAGGTTGTGAATACCTGCATCACTTCCATTTGATATAATTATGAAGAATGTTCCCAACCGAGCGCTAAAAACCGTGAATCATACAATTCTCCTGTGCATCCTCAGTGTGTTCTGAACTCAAATCTAACCAGAGCCTTCCTCAGCAGAACACAACGTGTGCCTTTCTGTCTCTGCAGGCTGAGTAATACTTCCCATGGCGAGCAACCCAACCTCACATGCGAAATTAATGGAATACTCCTTTAAAGCGTCCTAATGAGGAACCTGATGGAAAGCTCTCTCAAGAAGGAGAAAAGGCCAGCTAGTCATTTTTTTGTTTTGGATTATGTAACGCTGTTAATTGCAGCAATAGTCTGCTTAGGAAAATCTGAAAACAACCGAATCTGGAACATGGACGCAAAACAGCTGCTTTTAAATCCAGCTAACTTGGTTGTGGCGTTTCGTAGACATGGTGCTCTCCTGCCAGTCGATTCTCCTCGGGGCCCTCTCGCAGGAGCAAAACAATATTTTATAATGTCAGGAGTGTTTTTAAGTTGTTGGGTTGCCGTGCTGTGTGGGAGAGACCAAAACAACAGCTCGTAGTTTCTTTACGTAGCAGAAACATGATTTAATCTGGTTCAGGGGGGCTGGTTTGAAGAAAAGGAAAATGTTATTCGAACTTTTACTTTTTCTCCCCTGTTGGCTGATGATCCTTCTCGTCATCTGACAATAAAGTGTTATTCATGTTGTTAAAAATCAGAACTTCAGGAGCCTTAATGATGCTCTCATCCCACTGTGAAAACATTCTTATAAGTTCAGCTCTTCAGTAGCACAATGTTGTTTATCTGGTCCACTTATGCAAAGCTTCAATTAGTGATTTAATAAGAAAACTGAATGAATCTAATGAAATTTGCAACCCTGACCCACTTCTATGGGGCTCATTCCATATCATCTCGACTCTCTACAGTCCCTGCTTGACTCTTTGCTTCAACAATAATCATCCGTCCTTGTCAGCTTTTGAGAGCTCAGTCCAGGCTGTTTCTGTCCCAGTAGGAGTCCAGCAGTACCAGTTGGTCGCTTTTCTGCAGCCCTAAAAATACTTCCTGCAGGCTCACAGTAGACTAAACAGTCAAGTACCTGCGAGATACTCTTAGAAATATACCCGCAATGTGTTTTGGTGACCCTCCTTGGAAATTGTACTCTCCCCTGCTTCGCTGGATCACTCGATTATGCGTATTTTCTGCAGTGTTTAAAGGCGGCGACTGTTTCTTTTCCCAGGAAGGATAATGAAGACGAGTTGCTGGTTCAGCCCATCTTTTATTTCAGGGTGCACACACACTCGCTGGAGACAAATTATGCACCACAGTTGCCAGAGCGACGTTGTCCAGCAGTCTGTAATAACCAGCCTTGTCAGGAAGCGCTCAAATATTTTGGGGAAGCTCTTTCAAAGTGTGATTTATAAGCTACCAGTTACTTCCCATTGGTAGACCTACAGCAAAGCCTGCCTGGAGAGGAATTTGGTTTTTAGCTGTTATAAAGGAGCTTTCAGGGCTGAAATTTGGGCTTGATTGTTGTCGTGAATGTAGCATTTTGTCATGTGATATTTGTTGTCTAAGTAGATTTTCAACCAAAAGTGTGTGATGCAGTTTTGTCAAATAAAAACTGGACAAACTGTTAAGTAGAAGGGAGGTCTACTCCTAAATCAGATAAAGTGATTCAGCAAAGACAAAAGTTTGGCTCAGAGCAAAAATATGTTTAATTTATTGTGTGTATTGTGTCTTTTGTTTTTCTAGAGTTCGAATGGAGCTTCAGTCAGGACCTGTCCGCCATCCTGGTGAAGCAGGAGGAGCCTGACGTGGGTCAGAGGTTAGATCCTCAGCCTCTGGAAGGCCCGCCTCTCATATTAAGCCCCGCCCCTCCGCACAGAGGATCGCCATGGAGACACACGGTAACCACCCGTCTGGTCTGCGTCTAAAAATGATCCGTAACAAACGATGTTGATGTTGACTGTTGTTTATGTGTTTGTTGTTTGTGCAGGAGCGCTGTCAAGATGATGTGAAGCCAGTCGCTGTAAAAGATGAACCCAGAGAGATTGGACAGTACCTCAGCCTGCCCAGCGGTACACAACACACCACACACACATGCACTAACATACTCACACATCGCAGCAGTATAACCGTTCACTTCAGGACAAACTAACATGCACCCAATGCTTTCAGAGATTTTGAATAATCCCTACAATGTTTTCAGCATTATCTGACCTTAAAGATGTTGAAACAAACTAATTAGTGCCCCTTTGTCTCTTAGAACAATGTGGAGAACTTAATTCTTATCAGGCTGAGCTTAGTTCCAGCCTTTCAAGTGTACCAACCTAACAGCTGGTTTGAAAGGCGTGTTATCTTGAATTCAAATCATCAAAATGACACCATTTATTGAGCAGACATTGTAAAAGCAGAAACAATCATTGGATTTGCAATTTTCATTCAATTCAGATAACTTTATTTATCCCAGAGGGGCAATTCAGAAGCTCACTGAGTATTTAGTATAAAGAAAAAACAAAACAATAAACCACATCATTAATATCACATTTTCTTATTACTCATCCGTGACGTGCTGTAAAACCTAGCCAAATATGAGCTTAAAATTGTGGTATTTTATAGATTATTTTAATGTCTCATTTACAAATTACCCAATAATAAACCAATTGCACCACAGTCTTTATAAATAAATCTGTGCTTCTCTGTGCAACCATTAAACCATTAGTTGCTCATGTGCGACCAACTTAAATTTAGGGTCTTTTTGACTAAACTGTAGGCTGTGTTTGCACAAAGCACAGAAATAAAATGAAAATGTAAGTACCAAGGTCACAATTTCTTCTTCATCAAAAAAAAAAAAACAATCAAAGAAATTAAACTTTCATTTTGTTAATGGTTTATGTCCTGTGTCTGCACAGAAGATATGTTTAGTTCTCTCTACATCTAGTCCTTGTGCCATAGAGGTGCAGAACTTCATACTTAAGTAAAAAAGAGCCCAGAATAAGTAAAGTTTGTGTTGCATCCGCTCTCAGATGTACGTCGCTTTGGATAAAAGCGTCTGCTAAGTGAAATTGTAGAAATGTGACCGACTCTGAGAGCCACTGAAGCCTCCCAGACCAAAGCGAGGGCAGCATAAACACCCATCTCTCTGGCTGCATGTCTCTGTTTCTGCCTTCACTCTACACCAGCGTAATCGCAGCAATACAAAGAGTTCAGGATCAATCAGTCAGTTTTAAACCGGCCTATTTTCTCTGCTTTTTCAGCGGCACAGCAGCCATCTCTTGCAGAAAAACGCTTTCAAACTAATAAGCAAACATTTTCTGTGGAGTTCTGTTGACGCTCAGCAGCTGAAATTGGAAGCACTCCTTCCTCCTCTTCTTTATGTTCAGACGATGCTCTCCAGCTCCCGCCCACCCCTCCCAGCAGTAACCACGGCGACAGCGACGGCTCCCTCCCGCCCTCCTCCCCCCACCTCCCCCTGCCGCCGTCGTCCCCGCAGCCACAACAGAGGCCAGGAGGTCGAGCCTCTTCCTCCTCCTCCTCCTCCTCTTCAGCCATCTCCTCCTCACCTCTCCTCACTGCACCACATGTGAGTTGAAGAACATCTGTCTTTGTGCTCCCCCCCTCTTGCAGTCTGTCTTTTTGCGAACACATGTGGCGGATTAAATTTATAGGTTAGTATACACCGATCTTCTGTCGGAAGCAATTTTCAGCTCTGTGAGCAATCAGAAATTCAGTAAACTGTGTCAAGAAATTGTTTGAAAGTAAGCTGCATGGGCTGAAGGTAATCTTCTAAAACGTTTTCCATGAAGAGAAATTCACATGTTTGCTCTTATTTCAACTCATTCTTCAAACTTTTGCTTAATACAATTATTATTATGATTTAGCTTGAAACCAAGAGGCGAGGGGAGACGATAAGAGTGAGTGAAAGACAAATATAACCTTCAGCCTTCCTGTTCCCGTCAGTAGGGGCTGTATTTTAATATGCACTTCCTTATCTTTATTACTCTTTAATTAAGAGTTTATCCTTTTATTCTGTTTACTTTATATAAGATCATTTACCTTATAAGCAAGCTTTTATACTTGAATCTTTTCTTTTTGTTCATGTTTGTGGTTAAATATCTGGACTTTTTTTTCACATTTTACTTATTTATTTATGTAAAATCACCTTTTTTGACATTCACTTCTATTTTTTTTATGTACACGGTCCATGTCGTGAACATTTATGCTCCAATTTTCCTAAACTTTATATAGAAAATGCAATATGTTCAAGCTTTAAAAGTGCCATATGAATAACACTCCTATTATAACTGTAATTAGAACAACACAGACACTTAGCAGCACTAATGTTTGAAAGCCTCGTTGTTCTTTAATTTCAAATAGAGTGATGGAAAATGTTACTAAAGATGAGAAATGAAGATCTGTAAAGACAATATCAATATATATTATTCTGGTAAACTGTGAAATGTGCTGTATGCAGCTTTGTTCACGTCTCTGCTTCGGTGAATTCAGATACTATTTAGTGGGAATTCAGCTCTATAAATCCTCCATCTTGGCTTTAATCAGTCCTATAATTTGCTGATAAAATGGGGCCTACTTAATGAAAGTCGGATGATTCAGAGTCTGACCATTGTCCGTCTGATTCAGCAGCTTTTTTCCCCCCCCGAACATTTGTGCTGAATGAAAGACTTTTGTGCCGAGGCTAAAATGGAAATGTTTAAACAGAATTGTTCGATGTCAGCGATTTTTCCAATTTAGTCATAATACAGCTGAACCGCTTTAAAATCACAGTCGACGTTATTGTTCTCGTACCTGTTCCTGTTTACTTACGCAGTCACCAATAAGTGAAGAAAGAATTTGCATACGCTGTAGACGCTGGAGGAAAACGGCGACCGACTGGGTCTGTCGAAGCATCCGATTTGAACCTGATAGATAAATGTGAGAATTATTATTCAGTGATGAAGTGTTTGTTTCATTGCACAGAAACTGCAGGGTTCAGGACCCCTCATGCTGACAGAAGAAGAGAAGAGGACCCTGGTTGCAGAGGGATACCCAGTACCGAACAAACTTCCCCTCACTAAAAGCGAAGAGAAGGCACTGAAGAGAGTCCGGCGGAAGATTAAAAACAAGGTACATCTCCTTATATCAGTGACAGAATTAACAACACAGCATCACACATTCGCTGACACTTTGTTTGTGTTTCAGATCTCAGCTCAGGAGAGTCGGAGAAAGAAAAAAGAATATGTGGAATGTCTGGAGAAGAAGTAAGGCTCGGAAAATATCTTTCCATTTCTTTTGTTTACCTTTTGTTATTTTGTGTGTTTTTTTCCCCCTCCTCATCATAGCCCCCTTAAATTATATTAGGAATCAGTCATTATGTTTAGAAGAAAGCATCCAGAGCTGTAAAAGGAGAAATGTTGCTCACATGCATCTAATTCTATGAGTCCAGCGGCTGGAAGTGCTTACACAGCCGCGCATATAGCAATATCTCCGAGATGAACTTCTCTGAGCTAACAATGTATTTATGAGCGTTGACTCCAGTCCAGCAGGCAGCGATGTTAGCGATTAAGGTTTTCCCTGCGAGGACTCCAACCATTGGCCGTTTTATGCACAGCTCTGTTAATGTGCATGAAAAAATAAAAAAAAATTAAAATTCAACTGACCAAAGAGAGAAAATATAGAGTTGTGTAATGCTGAAGCGAGTTTGGCAGTAGCAGTTCAGTCAGGAGCCAGTTATTTTTTCGTATTTAGAGGTTTTCCCAGTTGCTTCGGAGCTGAGTGCGGTAACAGACGAGGGTTAAACCGGAGGCAAGTCACCGGGAGGTCAGGTCTGATGAGCATTTACCACCTACAGAAGGGATTTCAGCAGCACTCGTCTCCTCTCTCCGCATTCTAATTCATTAAAAGAACAGCTAAAGTTAGCAGGAACTTCTTTTCTCTCATCTGTCCTCTGTTATTATGGCCGTTCGCTGCGATGGCAGGACTCCAATAACCTGCAGAACACATGGGCCAGATTCACTGACTCTCCTGACAGGGACAGTGGAGGAGAGGTGAAAATATGGGCTTGCTTATGCATTGCTTTTATCGTAACAAGTACTAATAACAAGTACCTACAAAGGTTTATACATCAAAAATCTCCTAAATCCCATTAGAGTGAGGTGAGAGCTGCGTCCAAGTGCGGAGGTAAAAAAAAACGCTAATCTTTCTCTTTATATCATCTTTGGTGTTTCTTCTACGGACGCAAGGACAGGATTATTGCATGATCCCCTCAAAAGAAAACAGCAGGACGACGCGCTGAAAGGAATGCGGATGAATGAGCCACATTCAGATGTAACATAGGAAGAGACGAGGAGGGTTTTTGAATAAAAGAGATTAGCAAGATGTTAAGTTTGATAATGGAAATCAATAGGATTAGCGAGAGATGACAGACGGAGGGAGGGAAAGAGTAATAGGATGAGGAGACGAAAGCAAAGGGAGCATCTCTCACCTTCCAGCCTTCATTATTACCCTATATACTTTATATAAAATCTTCTGTTGATCATCATTTTCAGCTGATCCCAGATCTACACTCAATCTTCAAGCTGTTATTCATCATTTTTTCTGACTTGATGAAAGCTAAACTAAGCTTTGACAAGTGTTTTCAAGATTAGAAAGGATTCGGATTTTTTAAAAATACTGCTTGGCCTGTATGTGTTTTTTCACAATACACAACTTTAATGAAGAGAAAGCGCTACAAGAGCACGGAATAAACTGGAAAAATAGGAGTGGACTGCTTGTTGCCATACCCTCCTCACTTCAGGTTGTGCTTTCGTAGTCCTCCGTCCGAGCCAATTTCTTACATCACAATTTTAAGTATGAGCGAGACAGATCCACACCAAAATCCAATAGGTTCTTCCTTTGGCAGTGCTCCACCTCTCCATCAAGTTTAATGAAATTTGGCTTCGTAGTTTCTGTCTCATTGATGCTCAGTGATTCTGGGACTTTTGGGGGCTCTTGGAGGTCAATTGTTCTTGATACCATAAAGAGTAATATTGCCTCTGATTAACAAAAATGTGCGTCTGTTTCAGGGTGGAGAGCTACACGTCAGAAAACAGCGACCTGTGGAGGAAAGTAGAAAACCTGGAGACCGCCAACAGGTGAGGTTCACAAAAACGTAGACGCAGCCTGAAGCGACTTGCTGCAAACGCTGATCACACAGACCCACCCTTTGTGTGATCATGTTTGGATTATCGGCACTGTTAGCAGCCGCAAGTTTGGAAAGAATGCAGCCTGATAAGCTAAAATGAATGGCTGCCTCCAGGAAAAATGAAGATTATTAGCAGCTAAATTATCCTAAAAGTTTTCTGCTGTGTGTGTTTCACAGCATGCGAGGAGCCTAAATTGGATTCATAAGCAAAGTATAGACTCACCAAGCTGCAGTTTTCTCCTCTTTTATTATAACAATATGAAACCAATGTGCTATTATCCTGGAGTGGGTGGTTAGATGGGTGGGTGGGTGTGGAGGGATGACGGGTGAGGGTGGTGGGGTGGGGGGGTCTGTCTCTGTCTGGCTGTGGCAGCCTCAGCCTGTCATTAAAGTGGCGAGTTAACAGTAGCTTTCATCGTGGAAGGCAGCCCCCTCCCTTCCCACCACACACACCGATGAATATGTTAAAACCACCACATGGAGGAACAATGAGTTGGCACAAACTGGGAAACATGAGTCAGCACGCTCGCTCTCATAAAGTTCAGAGTGTGTGCGGGTCTGAAAGAAAAAAATAAAATGAAGGAAAGAACTAAATTTAAGCCCGTAGTACCTAAAAATGCCTCAAATGCAGTTATTAGTGGTCATTTTGTTCTCCGTGCAGAGTGATTCATACAAAAAGTGGGTCAGTGCTGCTAGTTTATTAGCTGTATAAAAACAATCTCAACTGCTAGTCAGTGTTGTGTTAGATTTGTCTGTATCACATGTGTGTGTCGAGGACAGTTCAGAATACTTTCAGGACAAAGTAAAACTGCTCGCCGGGCTCCAGCCAAAGCAAACACCGCTCAGCTCCAAGCACAATTTCGTCTTCATTTCATCCATTAATTAAAACTTTTCCATTGTCCACTCACTCAGACGACCAAAAGCACAATTTGTAAGCGCCGTGTATTTTAGGCAGCAATAACTTCAGCTGTAAATCACTGTGGTTTTACATCAAAGACTCATGTGAGTGATGCTGGTCAGTATCATCCCATATGAGCTGATTACAGCTGGCAAGTTCTTGGCGACGCTCGGCAGCATGGCACAGATCTCAGTTACATGTTAGCGACTGATTGGTTGAGTTCAACCGCCAGTGTCTGACTAACGGCTTATTGTTTGGTTTATGTTCTTACTTATTAAATACTTTCTGAGGGCTGCTTCAAAGCGTGTTTGGCAGAAACTGGTTCTCTGTCTCCACTTAGTGGTCGGATCGCGTCCTTACAGCCGCTGACGGCGCATACCATCAGAACCCTGCTCTCCTGATCCCACTGATGTGCTGTTTTCTCGTGGTTTCTGCCGCCCGACTCGGCCGTAGCCTTTGCTTGCTTTGGCTGCCTGTCAATACAACAGTAAATCAGGTGGTTAAAGCTCACTTTGATGTACAATAAACCCGATAATGAGAACCGTGCTCTGGCGGGTCAGAGTCGATTTTAGGTGAAATAAACTATACGTCTGTACTTAGCGGTGGGTGGAGAGTGCAGCCATATGTGTGCAACGATATGGGCACAAACATTCACCGACGAGGTCAAATTCCTCAATGTCCTGTGGCTGCACACAAATCATCAGACTTCCAACAAAAGCTCTGAAAGCATCCTAAACAACTGTCTTAAAATATACCACTGTACGGCACAACCTGTTCTCTCAAAATAACGTTGAATTTTCCTCCCATGTTCACTCATACTTTTGACCTTCTTGTTAATGCCTCGCTGCGTTTCTCCCTCCAGGTCCCTCCTACAGCAGCTCCAGAAGCTTCAGTCGCTGATTTCAGGGAAAGTCGTCCCTCGATCTTGTAAAATGGCCTCAACTCAAACAGGAACATGCCTCATGGTAAAATATCACCAATGTAAAGCTCTTCCTGTGTATGAAAATTGTTGTTATTATCTTTATTTTAAAATGCACATATATTCTGTATGATCTTGCTTCAGCTCGACATTGAAGCTTTTTGATGTTGACGCTTTAAATTCTGTTAAATTGAGCGATTTCCAGTTGGTTAAAGGTTTAAATGTGCATTCGCCAGTTTTGGGGGCTTATCCAGCTCTCTCATGCCTCTCTCCAAGCTCTATGCATAAAGGAATATTACATGTTTCCATACCAATGCAGTGCCTCGTGAGCCTTACAAACAACAAGCTGAAAACTGGCCACCTTTCTGTCGTGATCATGTTTTAACCGGAGCCTTTCGTCCTCTCTCCTTGCAGATGGTGGCCCTGTGTTTTGTCCTGGTGTTGGGCTCCTTCTCCCCCTGCTTCTCTCCCCTCTCCTTGCTCTCTCACACCTCCGCCTCCTCCTCTCACGCCTCCCCATCCTCTCATCCGTCTCCGTCAGCGGACCTCTACGCCACCACACAGGGTAGGTCGAGAAATACGTGTTCTATGACCGCATGCAAAAAGTAGACATCGCATCAAATCCAGCTTGGGACATGAGTTTGGACTTGCATTCCACTTCCCTGCAAATTCACTTCCACCCCTGGGAAAGCCCTCCTAAAACCCAGACGCTGGGCTGTCTTCATGTTAAGTAGCACTCCCTTCTGCCAACAGCCGTCCTCTGAGCGGTGAGGGAAAAGGTTTGATGGACTGTAACCATGTAAAATTGACCATATTGCCCTGCAACTGTCTGGGGAGGAGGAAAAAAAAAAGCAAGATTAGAAGTTATTATAGTCTAAAGCTTTACTGGTGGCGCCTAGAGGCTGCAATGTTCATTACAACCTGCAGTGAAATACAAATAATACAATGTTGGACAGCTTCGAAATGCCCATTAGACGGTGATGTACATATTTTATGTTTTAAAGTAGAAATTTGGTATTTTTTTATATTGACAGCAAATTTTATCTTGACGAAATAGTTGGCTGTGAATAAACATCAAGAAATTTTACATCATGCTTGCTTTTCAGGGACCTTTAATATACTGAAACAAACAAACAAACAGGAAATTGTCGTATTAAAGAAGCTTGAAATGGCAAATGATTAAAAAATACACACACGCTCCGACTTTAACTCTATAGAAATCATCACAAGAAGTGTTTAGCTTCACAAAATTAAAAACAGAGATGGATCATCAATGTATAAAAAGAACAAAAAAAAGGAATTTAGTATTTTGGATATACAGTAAATTAACCATTTACATACATATATTAAAATATACTTTCATGCTGTAGGGTCTTAGCTCTAATATTTATGTTAGTTAGGTTCTGTGACTTTATAAAAGGTTCTTGGCTACGTCATCACATAAATGAGGTTATTCTCTATAAATATTGACACTGTAGGGTCTCAGCTAGTAAAGTAAAGCAAGTAAAGTAGTATTTTATATCATTTTTTGTAGGGTTTTAAGCCCTAATATGTAAATTACTCAAATAAAATCACACTACAAATAACACCACAGGGTCTGAAACTTTTCTTCTGGAAAGCTCTTTGGCACTGTTTCAAATGTGCTGCATAAATAATAGTGACTTAAAGTAAATCTATGAATTTACGCAAAACAAATGGCAAATCATTCCAGTCCATATTACACAAGAATTAAGAGTATGTGTGTGTTTGTGTGTTGCAGTCCGCTCCCGCAGCCTGCTCTTCTACAGTGAAGGCTCTCCACTGGAGGAGAGTGTAGTGCCATCAGACGGGGAGAGGCTACAGTCAGAAGGACACTCCCACATCCAGACGAGCCGGTACACAGCAGACGCCCACAGCAACCAGACAAGTGGGTCCAAGTTAGACCGGAGGTACTAGCAAACTCCGCTTATGCTGGTGTATTCACACGCTGCACGGCAACCCTTTAACTGGCTTTCTCTTTCTCTTCAGAGAAACAAAACCAGACGGAGTCTCGGAGGTTTTCTGACACAGCCTGACCCCCTCCTCACATGACTTCTCACCTCTGACCCCTAAAAAGCCCCCAAACGCTCCAGATTGGCTTCATATCACAGCAAACCTGCATCTACGTTACTCTTCCATCGTCATCCCCCTTTAATGAGACTCTGCAGTCGTCCCAACCTCCTCGCCTGGTGTCCTGCCTGTATGTAGTGCTTCTTCACTTCGCTCTTATACTTGAATATTGGTTTTAAATGGACCTTCTTGTTGGAATTTAAATCTTTCTGCACTAAACAGCTGGTATCATTTAAACCATCCAACTTATCTGTTTAGTTTAAAACAAACTTGTTGAATCTTTAGTTTGTAATTCATGAGACACTATTTGTCGCAATCATCGCCGCCTTAATTAAACCCTAATCCAAGAACCTCTAAACAATATTTACAGATCTGATGTATTTTATTAAAATAATTCCTCTGATCAAAACTCAGTCAGGCCATTTCTGGGCAGATAAGAGCTTCTTCAGCTGTGTTCCTGTGTACAAAATAGTCGTATCGTGTTGGGACAGGCGGAAAACATGATGAGCAGATGCTTTCTGCTTCCACAGGTGTCTTCACTTTCTCTCCACAGCGACTTGTTGAGAGAAAATAAGACTCATACATGTATATGGAAACTTGACAGACCTCCACTGTGGGATTCTAGTTGTACCATGTGGTGCTTGTATTTCACTTCCAGTGCACTTTGGATTCACTGCGTTGGATCAGTGCTTTAATTTTTAACCCATCACATACATTATATTAACAAAGGGCTGCAACTAACTCATCTTGGTCATCGAAATTGTTCCAGAAAAAACACCGCAAACAGCTTGTCCCAACAATTACTCAAAATCAAAAGATCTTAAATTATCAAAGATGATGAAGAGAAGTAGCAAATCCCTACATTTAAAGAGCTGGACCCAGAAAATATTTGGCATTTTTGCTTGATAATTGAGCAACTAGACATACTGGTGTGTTGAAAATGAACACGTGCCATTTTTAAAAGTGCCTTCAAGTTGCTTCACATGCCCACATATGGAACCACAGAGCTGGAAATGTCACTCTGTCTGTTTAAATCAGGGCTGGCCTCAGTCTTTTAAGACCTCCTGAGTGACATTTTGCTCATTTGTCATCAGAAATTGGGTGAATGTTCAGGATTTATCAGGGCGAGACCTTTTATTTCACATGCCTATTTATGTGTTCGGAGGAGCCAGCGATGCCTGACGAAGGTCTCTATTCAGGATCAAAGTGTTGCTCGGTTAAATTAAATTAGCTTTTTTTTTTTTTACAACAAGACATGTTATTTTTCAACTTTTTAAATCTGTCTCTGAAGTTAAAACTAGTTTTTCACTTACACTTCTGACCAAGATTCTGCTTTGTTTTTGTGGGGTGGATCATATTTTCATACCAAGGGCAAAAAAGGAGGTTGGGAAACATGACATAAAAGTATTTTTATGGAAATATATTGTATATGTAATATATTTGCAGCATCCAAAAAAAGAGCATATTTAATTTATGCAACAAAAAAAATTAATTCTGAACTTTTTTTTTAAAGTTAGTTTATCTTATTGTCTTTTTTTTTTTTTTTTTAAATAATGTTTCAAAAAACAAAAATACACCTTATAATATATTCTGAGCATCAAAAAAAGAGCATATTTATTTTATGCAAAAAAAAAAAAAGGATTTGTATGTTGTGTATCGGCATTTAGGATGATGTGCGGTTTTACGTGACGGTGTGTCGTTCACATGCTCATGTGTAAAGCTTTGACATGATCTGTTTGTGTCTTTTAACTGTAATACAGTGTTTATGTTTCACTGCTGTCGCATGAAAATCCTTGAGGGTCTTTATTTTGTCCTTCGGGATTTAAAAATGTCTTCACTTTGTGCAATTGAACCATAAAAAAAAACACATTTTTACCCTCAAGTTTACGTTTCTTGGCTCAAAAAACTAAATAAATGTACCATAAATAAAAAATGAAGTAAATGAACAGTGATACTAAATGTCCTCATGCGACAGCAGTGTGTGTTGTATTTATTCCTGTTTGTAGAAAGTGTGTATATATTGATGAAGCCAATCAGGGGACTAATACATTCCAGGAAGTAAAATACCACTAGTTCCACAATTTGATTGAACAAAAATCACATTTTTAAAATCTTTATTTCTTTACCACTATTCTGACAACGTAATAGAAACAGCAACGCTCCCAAAATAACTTCTTTACACTTCATGGTATTCGTTCAAGCTATAAAAACCGACATTTCACCGTCCTCAGTCCAACTTCTGGCTTATAAAAGACGCCAAAATCTTATGATCTCCAAAACTTTACAGTTGTCACAGGTCGTCTGCTTTTCTTACTTGTGTTTTTGTTTAATGTTTCATTTTTTTTTTCATTTTACACAAAAAAAAATCATGTGACTGCAGCCCGTTGCACAAACATCCTGTCATTCTCTTCACCCATAACAGTCTTAACGCACCAATGTACATAAATAATGACAACTTAATGTGCAGTTGTTGTAAATAAGGGCCTTGTTTTTGTATTGTGACATAGTCCAAGATTTTAACCTGTGGAATCTCATGGAAAAGGCACGGGGGAAGCAGTGGGGGGAGGAAAGTGGGGTGGGATTAAAAAAAATTAAAATTAAAAAAAAAAAGATGGGGAGGGTGACTTTTTCCACTTGTAAAGAAACCTGGATGACAGCAGCTGCACGCAGTTTAAATACAACACCAGGAAGGTGCTTGTTTATTCCAACCTCTCCATGAATATTTGGAAAAATTGAATGTCCTGAGAGAATAATCAAGCACTTTCCAGGGAGTTTGGTTATTTGAAATGGGTCTGGACATGTCGTTGTCTTGGTTTGTTGTATAGCGTCCTGCATGTTCCTCCATATACAACTATGTTATCTTAGTATAGTCAGTAGAGTAGAAACCAGCAAAATATTAAAAAACTGCATCAGCAACACGGTGTCCGTGCACTTTCTTGCTTTTAAAATTCATTGATTTGTGCTGGTCCCAGTCTTGAAAACATCCTTTGATAAAGTCTTAGCTGAAGTGTTTGAGTATGAGCTGTTTTCGGAGCTCCTCTGCCTGGCTGTCGCGGTCCTCTGGTCTCTGTTTGAGGCCGCTGGGCTGCTCGAGCGGCTCCGTCCTCTCCAGAGTCCAGGCGTCCAATCCGGACTGCAGCGAGGCGTTGTGGAGAACGCAGCAGGCCAGCAGGATGGCTGAGCTCCTCTCTGGAGAATACTGCACACGGGAGAGACGACACTGCTCAGCAACTACACAAACACTTTCTATTTAGCTACAAGACCTTGAAAATAAAAGTACATGCTTACTAGGTTCAATGTGATAAAGGATGTTGAGGTAATTGAGGCAACTGTCTTATGATTCCATAATTCATTCACATTTATAACTAATATCTTAAACATACTGAATGGAGCCACATATTTTTACTAATAGGATTATGCTGATATATAATCAGAATTGTTGATTAATGGCTGGGACAAACACAATTTTTAAGTAGAATACCTGCAAGTATCCTTTGGTGCCATCCAAACATCTAAATCGGGTCTGGATGGCTCTGAAGGTTCTGTCCACTATCTCATGAGTAGCCGTATGAGCCAGATTATATCGAAACTCCGCAGGGGATTCTGGGCAGTCGACCGGGGTCATCAGCCACTTCCTCACAGGGTAGCGACCGTCACCTAGGAAGCAGAAAACTTTTAACCTCTGCACCCCCAAACTAACATCTCCAACTCCAATAATGACACCAAATACACTCCTCACCCAGCAGCCAGCCCTCCTCTGTGTCCTGCAGCTGCTTGTACAGAGCGGATCTTTCCAGAACAACGGTGTCTTGGAGTCCGCCTGGCCAGTGTGTTTCTGCGCTGAGCAGCAATCCTCGGGCGTCACAAACGAGCTGGCAGGCCACGGAGTGAAAGCCCTTCTTATTCACGTATGACGAGTCTTCGCTGTTTGGAGCTTTGATGGCAACCTGGAGGTGAAGAGTAAAGAAGAAAGAGGAATCAGTTTCCTCTTGTGGAAACTGATAATCAACTGTCAATGCAATAGAATACAAATAACCTGAACACAGTCCAGCACCCCGAGAACTCCTGGAAATCCTGCCACCCTCTGGAATTCCTCGAAAGACTGCTCTCTGCTGGAGGGATCTCTGTTTGAAGAACATTATTACTGCTGTTATGTTTAAAGCTACTGAAGATGAGTTTAGGATTTTCACTCCTGACAGCTGTCTCTCTGTATAGCTACAGTGTCCATTTCAGCTGATAATATAAAAGTACCACTGATTTTGTAAGTTTTAAGACCTTACCTAGGTCTTAAAAAGTAATATGTGTTCAAAAAGCACCTAAGTGAACCCTAAACAAGCTGTTTTCCTCCATTGATTCTTCTTCAAGGCCTTTTGAGGTGAATATTTCCTGCAACAACTGCCACATTTTCACCTCATAAACCTGCAAAGTATCATGGTACCACACCTGTTGAACGTGATGAACTGGGGAGCTTTCTCCACCAGCGCTCTGGTCACATTGGACACACATCTCGACATCGACGCCTGACTGATCCCTATCGTATCCCCCATAGACGTCTGGAAGGAGCCAGATGTGTAGAAGCCCAGCGCGGCCAACACCTGGACCTCGGGACTGATGGCTCTGGACCGCTGGGTTCGTCTGCAGAGAGCCTGACACAGAGGGTATGCAGATATCAGAGAGACAAGTTAAACGGAAGTGGATTCGCCTATTCAAAGCTGAGGGTCAGGTCACACTCACCTCTCTGAGTAGTTCCACCAGATACAAGATAAAGTCTCTGGGGAAGCCAAACTGTGTGAGCAGGGTGTTGTCTGAGACTGAGTCCAGGTCGAAGCGGTCCAGAGTTTTGTGGCCTCGACCATGTAAGAGAAGATCACAGTCCAAGATGGCTATAGGGATGGCCATGCTGTGGGTCAGAAAATGTGAATTTAATTAATAAAAAATGACAAAGTATGATGAATTACACACTTAGATTCCTCTTTGCCTTCAACCTGTTATGATTTTTATATCCAAATATTTGTTACATCATTTTAAAATTCATGTTTTTAAAGATTTACACAGTCTTGTTTAGTATTCTCTTAATATAGCTCTTGCTAGTTGAAGAAATCTGTTTATGACATTCCAGCATACACACTGTTGAATAAGGAGTATCACATGGGGATATTGAGATGGTAAACTAACCTGACGTTCATGTTTGTGGAGCTAAAGCAGGCTTACTCCTTTCATTGCATGCTATGACATATAAAGCAATCCTTTTGTTTCAAAGCAACCACCACTAGAACTGCTATTACTGTATGCTTACTGTATCAAGTCAAGTCAACGTGCTAACTAGCTAGCTAGCTAGCTAGCTAGCTAGCTTGCTTTGGAGGTTTTTTTTAGTTTTACGTGTGTTTACTTGTAAAGAAAACTCTTCTAAGACTGGTAGCGGGACACCTGCAAATAGTACTGACTGTATAATTAAGTTCTTTTGCATAATTAAGAACAATACTCTCACCTTCAGGTAAGAAATGCTGCATTTGTCAACCAAAACAATTCCCAGAAAACGTACAGCGTTAATTTGCGGCACGAGTTCGCAGATTCGACACAGTGAGGGGCGTTGGGATTTTTGTGGATTCCGTTTTATCATTTAAAAAGAACAACAAAAAAGATCGTTTTGATGACAGAAAAATCGACATATTTTCTTCTTTATGCGTCAAAGTTTGTTTCTGGCTCAAAATTGAACTTTGTTTTTACACATTAAATTAACGAAAGTGCCGTTGTGAAGCTACTGCTATCTAAACACGTCGACATGGAGAAGATAAACAGAAAAGTAGCACAGCCGCTGTTGACGATGTGTACAGCTGATTTGGGCGTATAAATGTTTGTGGAACACAGCTTTGCGTGTCGTTTTTATTAAACTGATTCGCATTTCATTGAAGCTTCGTTGTAAAGGGAACAGCTAATGTAAGTCTTGCTGGTTTGTGACGAAGTTAAAGTGTTGCGTTATTTAGCTAGCTAGCTATCGTTAGCTTTGGGCTAAGGCCAGTTGTTCACTGAGGCACTAACCGTTGCCTCTGCCTCGCCTTTGCGAACCTGAAGTAATTATGTAAGAAAATGCATCAATGTGGCTTTTAAATATACAAGCACATCTAGTGTAGAATATAAAGTGGCTGTCAATTCCCTGCTGTTTAAAATGACCTCCAGATTTAATTCGGACAATTTCATATCAACGTGGAGGCCCTCTTCTCGCTAGCATGGTTGAGATACAGAAAATGTTCTCTAAAAACAACGATGCTAAACAGTGTTTTATTCTTATTGTATTACCCACCGTTTCCAGTTAGCAACTGTTCGATTCCGTAATAGCAAAACCTAATGTATGTGATCTAAATTTGTTATTTGGGTCAAATCTGAGCTTTGTTTGGGTGACTGGGTTTTGTTGCTGACGTGTTATTGTGTTAATAATAGCAACCATGGGCAGACATGCATGAAACGAATCTAATGCAGCTATTATAATTTGGAATTACATGTTTGCATGTAACATTATACTGCTGTTTGACTTTATGATTTTACAAATTCAAAGACAACTTATGACAAAATTGTAATAGATGCTCTGTTTGTTTTATATACGTACTGAAATTTCTGTTCGTTTATATTTTCTTTGGAATCATCATTTAGACTTTTCTAATGGCCTTTCTTGTGTGATTGCAGGGTCGTGACAACATGGACAGCGACCTGAGTCCGCAGGATAAAAAAGACTTAGACAAGTTCATTAAGTTCTTTGCCTTGAAGGTAAGAAGCTGCGATGATGGTTTGTTTCTGCAGCTGATAGAGCATCTGAATGTGGCCTGTGATGCTCCTGTAGCGTTGATTGACTCATAAAAACAAATCTGTCTCACTTGTCTGTTGTGGTATCTACAGGTTTTGTTTTAGTAGCATAGCTTTTCATTTATGGTGCTCAAAGCATTAAAAACTTTGCATGAACAATGTTACTGTCAGCCTGGATAGACGTGTGAGCATTTTAATAGAAACTATTTCTGTGAAAATTGTTCATTTTGATAGATTTATTGTGGACTGTGTGTATGTTTTCAGACTGTCCAGGTAATAGTCCAAGCTCGCCTTGGAGAGAAGATCTGCACTCGCTCGTCCTCATCACCTACTGGCTCTGATTGGGTAAAATAACTTTTATTAATTGTTTGCTATTAAAATTCACTGTAGATCATTATAGATTACCAGTCTGCTTCTGTAGATTTTAATTATTTTGACTGTTAAATATATCTTCTAGTTTAATTTGGCCATCAAAGACATCCCAGAGGTTACCCATGAAGCCAAGAAGGCACTGGCCGGCCAACTTCCAGGCATCGGCCGCTCCATGTGTGTGGAGATCTCCCTCAAGACGTCAGAGGTAAATACTCGCTGAAGCAGACAGCCTTAGACAGTAGACTGCAGTTCCTCTTTCTGTAAAATGACCTCTATCTCATAAAAAAAATCAAACCCCACAGTGGCTTTATGTTAAGCTCAGTCTGTCCGTCAGTTAGGTGTAGATGGGTTAATAAACAATGAGAGGGTTGTTAAACTTTGTTGGCAACTAAATATGCTGTGTGGGTTTGGAAACATAAACCTATGAAAGAGTTTTGCCTGTGCATGAAAGTCTCCATTGTTTTACAGGCTTTGAATCGTAAACAGATCATTTTGTAAATACACAGTTATCTCTGAGTTCACTTTAACGTCTCTATGCTGATGTTTCTGTCTCCTTCCTTTCTCAGGGTGACTCAATGGAGTTAGAGACTTGGTGCCTGGAGATGAATGAAAAGTGAGTGGACTTTTGGGCATTCTAGTGACCAAAAGGTTAAGGAATGTGCAAGAAAAATAACACATTGTCAAGACTGTGGGTGTGTCTTTGCCTCTGTAAGGCTCTAAAGAATTTACAAGATTAGCCTGGGGGACCACGAACCCGTTATCTGTGGTAAATGCATCAGTTGCATCAGTGCTATGCTGTGATGATTGCTTCATCTTGTGCAGCACTTGTGATCATTGCTTGTCTCTGCCAAAACTTGGCTGTGTGACACCCATACTGAGCATCGGCTTTGATAGCACGCAAACAATGGAGAAGCACAAAAATGAAATCACAGTTGGTAGTTTCAGGAAAACAGGAACCGATGCTGTCAGCAAATGTCAGCTGCTCGCTGGTGTAAATGGGCGACTTTGTCTCTATTTCAGTGACAATTTGATTTTATGCCATGTTTCTAAATTGTTAGCTGTTGTCAGAAAACTGCAGTTGTACTTCAATGTTTTGTTCTTTCTTGAGATGACGTGTCCATAAAAGTAATAAACTATCTATCTATCTATCTATCTATCTATCTATCTATCTATCTATCTATCTATCTATCTATCTAATTCTCTGTATTTTCTGTCTTCGCTCCAGGTGCGATAAGGACATCAAGGTGTCATATACAGTATATAATCGTCTGTCTGTCCTTCTGAAGTCTCTGCTGGCCATCACCAGAGTAACACCCGCCTATAAGCTGTCCAGAAAGCAGGGACACGATTATGTCATATTGTACAGGTGATCTGTCCTCTTAAACACTTGGTTTGATTGAATTACTGGCAAAATACATTTCCCCATCTCTCTGCATGAACACAGCTGCTGTTTTTCCTAGTACACCTCTAGTGTAGGCATCTGAACTTAAATGTTTCTCATTTCTGCTTCCCCTCTTTCTAGGATCTACTTTGGGGAAGTCCAGCTGAGCGGGTTAGGAGAAGGTAACTGTATCTGTGCCCCTTGACCGACATGTCCTAAATCACTGGTGCTGCCCCGTGTGACTTTGAACCTGAACAACAGAGACGTTGACATGCATCCAGTTAACACGTGGCTGTGTGCACCGGTTTCACTGTAAACATTGTGAAAAATATTTTAGAATTGGACTCAAAGGGGCTAAATATATGTATATATTGTGCAATTATTGTTACTATTGGTCTTTGGCATCTGATGCCTGCCACATAAAAAGTCTCTAAAGCAGACTTCAAGCAAATACACAAATAATTACTATATTTAAAGATTAGTTAATTTTTTAAACATTGCTTACACATAAATTAAAACATCATAGAATACTTTTTCTTGTTCCCTCACTGTTTATTGTAACATGAGACCAAAAACAGCATACTCAGAAAAAAATCACTGAAAATATCTCTTAATTCTTATGATAAATACATAATAAAATATGCTGACTGTATTACATTTGCTAATGTTCTTGTGTGTTGTTTGTTTCTCAGGTTTTCAGACAGTGCGTGTCGGTGTCGTTGGCACCCCTGTTGGCACAGTCACACTCTCATGTGCCTACCGCACCAACCTGGCATTCATGTCTAACAGGTAACCAACATACTGCGTCTAAACTGAAACAGCTGTTGTAGCATGTTGTAGTATTATTAAAGATTTCTGAGTGGAATGAAAATGTTTTCCATATTTGCAGATATTAACATTTCACTGCTTCAGGATTTGTTTTGACTCATCAAACTAGCAAAAGTCGTCAACTGCTCTAATGTCGCTCTCTACAGGCAGTTTGAAAGGTCGGCTCCAATCATGGGGATCATTGTGGATCACTTTGTGGATCCTCCCTGCAGCAGCCAGCGTCCAGCAAACATGGGGCAGCCCTGCAACTACAGGTAGCTTTTGAAAGCAGGCATTCATCTTAACAACAAAACATTATCTACCCACAACTGCAGTCAGGTTTAAACATTCTCCAAACACATGGTCCTGCAGTTAAGTTTTAGCCTTGGTTGACTTAATACTAAGATTTAACATCACTGGAGGTCCCAAAAACTTATGCTTCTCCATGTCTGAGAGTCTAATGTTGCTTCTCCTTTGGTTTTGACTTTTGTGCTTTCCTGCTTCCAATCAGGATGTAAAAACAAATTAATTCAATTCTAATGTCTGTGTGTGTGCAGAGCTCCAGATGAGGAGGATGGAGGAACATTTGCAGGAGTTCAGGACTCCCAGGAGGTCTGCACCACCTCCTTCTCCACCTCCCCTCCCTCTCAGGTAGGAAACTCCCTCCCGCTCTTTTTCACTGTCTCTTTCTTTAACCTGTGACTTCTTCTCTCCATTTTCACACCTGTTTTTCATTTCACTTTCTCTTTTTTCTCTTTGTCTGTTTTCCTTCCTGTTGTCTCTTTATTGTACGTTTATCTCTATGTGTGGGTGTGGGTGTGTGTTTGCATTGTCTCAGTGTGTGTGCACACTGAGTCCGTCTCCCTCTAAACTGTCCAAGCCCCTCCCCCTGGACAGTCTGCAGCTCCCATTGGCTCCTGGACTTGTCACTCACACTGTGAGTCTATACTGGCCATTGACAAAGTGTGACTGTGTGTGAGACAGTCTGAAACTGTTCCTTCAGACTTAACATTTGCTTTTTTAGTGTGTGATCATCACGTTTTTTTGTTTTTTTTTTCGTCACCTGTAGTTTTCTAGCTCTTGGTTCAGTGCAGAGCTTCATACTTCTGTAGCTTTCACTTGCCGCTGTTCACTAGATCCGTTTGATCACCCCCATCACAGTAGTAAACCCTGTTAATGTTTGACCCATCTCAACAACA